GCTTTATGTATATAATTGTATAAAGGGTCGGCATTCTGAAATTAACATTTTAACCCGACCGTACAAAGTGACCTAGAACCTTTAATAATGGTTCGGTCTTGCCGAGGCAGGAATACGATTGAGAACGGTCATTATTGGCGATACCTTTCTTAGACCCTTTTGACTATTACGATTGAGAACGCTCAGTTTTTATTTTTCCGCCCAACGTTGCCAAACTTTGCCATATAATAATCGGCTATGGCTATAGCCTATATAAATATATATGACTCTTAGCACTGCTCACACACTATGTGGCAGGAATAAACGTCTTTAAAACTCAATACTATTCAACAGGGTACTCTTCAAAAGGCATCAAAAGCAGATGAAGAAAAAATTTCAAAAACAATACAGTCTTATATTAACTACTGTCAAAAAAAATCTTCTGAAGGATTAGTAAAATATTTAACACATATGGGAAATTTATATAGGGGAATTAAATTGTAAATTATTTTTAAATGTTTGTATTATTGGTACCTACCAATAATACAAATTTTTTTAAAAACTATGACATTTTTAAAATTTATAATTTTTAATTATTTTATTCAATGTTTTATTTCATTTTTATTTTGACTTGAATATAGTTCGGCAACGTTGCACTTAATTTCGTTCTCAATAGTACTGTTTTATTGGGTCAGCGGTTATTTCATTGTTCCATTTGGAGTGATCTCAATCGTACGCTAAAAAAGGTCGAACGTTCTCAATCGTATTACAGCCCTTGCCGACTATTCGTTTAATCTATGTACCGTATCGAAAATAAATAGATTTAAATTTATAATCATTTGTTTTATTATTATAATAAATAACAAAACTCAACAGGCAATTATTTACAGAATCATGATATTAATTGCAATACATATATTATATTTACGTTAACTCAGTATAACACTATACATTTAAAGAAAAAAAACAATGACTTATTGACTCTAATTTGAATAAACAATTGATTTTTGGAGTGATTCGGTTTAATAGCATTTCACGAGAGCAAACTACTGTTTATTCTCTATTTTAATCAAACGATGAAACAATATTAGAAAGATAACTCAATAAACCAAAAAAAATACTACTTGCATTTTAATTTATTTGAAAATTATTGTAAGCAATATTAATATGTTTATTTATATAAATTGTAACCAATACCTAAGTATTTGACTAATTAATAAATAATAAATAATATATTATTTGTGTAAGCATATCCATTATCCCTATTGACTATTATGGACTATAATCCTTAACAGTGAATACAATAATATTTAATAACTAGAATACTTCTCATTCGAATATGGATGATTGCGGTACCTACATCAAAACTCCCTAAAAAAATTATCCACTAAAAATGTTTAGTAAAGGGGGGGGGGTCTTTGAGTTGGTTTATTTAAATATTCCAAAAATCAGATTTTAAGCAACTTCATTATTAAAGAAAAAAGGGGTGGGCGTCCTTGGTGAATCGACTTGTATAATAAATTACCTGTACATCACTTAGGAAAGTATTTGTTCATTTTATTTTGACTTTTTATCTTTTAAATTAAGTATCTTCCTAAAACAACCTATAAATTCATATAAAATTAACGTGGTTAAATCTACAAAAGCGCCAATCAAAACCACCACGCATCGATCAGAAAATATTGATATCGAATCAAGCTCGTGGACGCGGGCAATTTGTAATCTGCAACACGGTTTCGGATCAAGTATTCCACTGAATGCACTACGGTAAGCAAAGTCTTTGATTTTAGCTCGTAAGTCGTAATAGAAACTCTCAAAAGATAAACTTAAAAATAGTAAGTGTGTGTCATATCAAGTCTCCCCTGTGTAGTGTGTGTGTGTGTACACTTACTTGATAAAACATTTTTTTTATCATATTCTATCATAATATTATTATATTGACATATTGTAATACTTATTGCAACATTTATTGTAAATTGTAATTATTGAAAATAGAGACGAAACCGTTGCTGCGAACTCGCATCGAAATAAGAAACGGATCACTTCGATTAAAATTAATAATACTATCATAACTTAAACTTGAACTCACACCGTTATCTGTGTATACTGTATACAGTGTACACTGACTATAATGTTTATATTATATCATATCAACCTATAGTAAGTACCTGCACATTTACGAATAAACAGCATTGTTCAAACGGTTGAAATAATAGTTCTTACGTATTTTCTTTATAATATAATATTTTATTACACCACAACGACGACGATTAACTATATACTGTCTATATTATAGTTGTTGATAGTACGAAACAATTTGTTCAACGTCTCGTATATAACGATGACTATTACAATACTATAGTCCCTGTGACGAACAATTATTATTAATGATATAATATAGTAGTTGAATGTAGATATGGCTTTTATACTTAAAATGTCTACTTACTAGACTGTGAAAAAATTGTATCCGTGCGTTTCCAAAACGGGGTTATCTTCCTCTTGTCGGCCACACATGCATGGTATTATAATATTGTAGACATGTAATTTTAACTAAATTACCATTATTCCTGCATGCTCTGCTCAACAAAAATATTTCACTTCGGGGTATAATATTATGAAAAAAGTATTCTGTCATATAAAAAGTAGACAAGATAAAATATAATTATATTTCAAAAATGTTATGATGAAGGTATTGATTTAAAATTATGTAAAAAAAAATATTTTCAAAACCACATACATTTACTAAGAAAATAATATCTACTTAGTGATAAATTAATCACCCTGTATGTGTTATGTGAGTGCGTGTTTATTTTTCGAATTCACATGTTTTGTCTTTATAGGTAGCCAATGTGATGATAAACGCATTAATAATCTAAACAGACAATAATATTCCAAACATCTTATTTATTTATTATTGAATTCGATTTATGATAATGTTTGAACCATTTACTGAACGACTGAATCTGTTACATGACGATTGTAAATAGTGCATATATACCTATTACTACGGTCTTGGAGTAGGAAAAATTAAATGTAGCCTTTCTTCGAGGTTCAAACTTAAAACGGCGAGGAAGTGGGTAGGTACCGCTCAGCAAACAGTAGGTGTCTAATACGGATAACTATTGTAAGTAATAGTGTAACTGTGTAACTGTACTTTAAGGGACCCGGATACGCATTTATGCAGGAAGCTCCCCAAAATGTTATTTTATAAAATGATAAAAAAAAAGTGCTTACATAGGTATAATAGTAGTGCAAAATATTATATTTATTTTTTTAAAGTACCTTATTTAAAAATATAAAATAAAATACACATTTAAATTAACTACATAGGTAGTTATAGAAATTATTTATAATTTAAAATAATTATATAAATAATACTTTATAATATTATACAAAGTATTTTTTATGCGATTCAAATTGTGTAATTGATTTTTTTTACATCAGTAAGTAGTAAGTTTTGATAAAATGATAATAGTCCTATTAATTATTATAGAATAATTTATAATAATATTCAATATCCAATATTAATAGTACCATCGACACAAATACGGCCACGGGCCCCACTGCCCTAGACCCATGGGCTAGGCCAGGGGTCGCCAACCAGTCGATCTCTCTAGAAATATAGGTCGATCGTTATAAAAATTAATTTTACCATTATCGGTCGATCGTGTAATAAATAATCGGATAATATGGATTGCTATATTGTATCCTAGGAGTTTACCATTATCGGTCAATCGTAATAGTCAGAATTTTTTTTTTTTCATTTGAAAACAAAAGCCTCGGCGACTAAGGGCCATTGACTACAATAAATAGGTAGTCAGAATTATTGTCAGTTATAACTCGACTGTCAATTAGTCGTCACGTGGAAGTGTGCAAAGCGTATATGTTCTGTATATTTTCGTTATTACGTTCCAAATTTATTTAGAATTTACAACAAATAAAATGAAATTTTTTTTTTATTTGCTCATAAAACAAATCTCTTTTTAAAGACCTAAATTCTCCTGGATGTCGATCACCTGGGACTAAAAATTTCAAATGTAGCTCACTTGTTTGAAAAGGTGGGCGACCCCTGGGCTAGGCCGACACTCATCTTATATCATTATAAGACTTTAAAAAACGTCCACTTGTTTCCCTATCATTATTAATTGGGTGAGCCCAGTGTTTTCTACGTGACCTTTACACAGGATCTTGTAACACAACAACTGCTTCTGCTGCACACAAAACCTTAACTAGTAGATCTTGATTTCAATCCATTTCGTACGCTTATCATTTATACCGTAAACCAAACATTTCGTGTTAAAGACACTTAGATATTACTAAGTTTTAAACACAATTCTTATGGCAAATAAATGTATATTATTTATTTACAAAGTATTATTGAACTTGAGCAAGGCGACTGGTGATTAGTTGTTGTAAGGGATTATGACCTGTGGTTGGTAAGGTTGGTACGGTAAGGTGTTGTTACGGTAGGTAAGCAAACACATGTATGTTTGGCAAGGTTTTTACTACTACGAACTACCCGGGTGGTCACCCATCCGGGAACTAGTAGCAGGGCGTTACTTACTCTCAGTCGCATTGTGCGACTTTTAGCAGCCAACTCGCCAAGTCAAGACACAAAAAAAATTTGTTAAGTTTCAGTATGATACTTATATTAAGACTGTAATTTATATCAATCGAATCGTATCTTCATTGATGATAAATGATGATATACGTGTTTATCAGTAGGTATTAATGTATTATAGTTATATTTTAACATTTTTGTCATCCGTACCTACGTCTTAAGATCTACCAACAATATATTATATATTTGATGAAATGAGATAGCAGTTCTAGAACATTGATTAATTTAGGAATGCTTTTTATAATTATTAATAATCCTCACTGTCAGTTTAAGTGTTAACTTTTAAAATATAATTCGTTACATCTCAAAGCTATTTACAGCACAATTTTATTTTAAATAATATTATGCTATTAAATAATAATATGATTTAATAATAATGTAGGTAATCTGTGTCTTTACTTTATTTTGACTTTTTGTTTTTTAAATTAATTATTTTCCTTAAGTAACCGATGGATTTATATAAAATGAACGCGGTTAAAGCTACAACAGCGCCAATCAAAACCACCACATCGATCAGAAAATATTGATATCGATTCAAGCTCGTGGACGCGGGCAATTTGTAATCTGAAACACCGTTTCGGATTAAGTATTCGACCGAATGCACTGCGGTATCCATCGCGGAAACTGGAAGGTCTAAGAAGATATTGGAAGCTGTCTGTGCGTTCTTCTTATAACTGAAATAAAAAGTAAATCAATAATATGTGTTACAAGAATGTACAGATTACCACATAGCAAAGTGTAAAAACCAAGTGATTTAAAAATTAAAATAATTACTTGAAAAATGAATACTAAAAATAAAATATTAGTTTTCCATATTTTATTAGGTATTCTTTTATGTAGGTATGAAATAATTTATTATTATTATTTAATTCAAATGTAACACATCTATTACAGTGTCACAGTGACCTACATAATATATATTTTACCTATATATTTTCAAGCTCTGGACAAAAGTGTATTCACGTAGGCGTCTAATATGTATTATTATATTATATCCATGTTTACGATGTATACAATCGCAATATACTATAGTACTATATAGACAAGAGACTTCCATGGTTATTTAAAAAAAATTAGTTTGATAAGACTATAAAAGTACTCTTAAAGTTTCAGACATAAAATCAAATCTAATTTTCAAGCTCTGGACAAAAGGGTATTCAATAACGTCTTTAATATGTATTATTATATTATATCCATGTATACCTATATTAAATTGTGAACATTGTCTTACCTTATATCGGACAAGATTTTTCCTAAAGCATCGACTAGGACTTTTACGTTTAGGTTTTCCAGTAAGATTTCTATTCCGAAACCGTTTTCGATGACAAACCTCATGTTGTAGAACTGGTCGGTAAAAAACGGGAATCCAATTAACGGCAAACCATAGTGCAACGCCTCCACGAGACTGTGATATCCTCCGTGAGTGATGAACAGCTTACAGTTTTTATGGCCTTTGAACAGAAACAATAATATACATCAGCGACATATAATCTAATATTAATAATAATATAAATCAAAGTGAAGTCTAGTTGGTACTCGAGACGTTTTTTTCAAGGCAATAACGTTCAATGATTCATAACTTTTATTACGGTATACTAATTGTTTTGCCTGTAATACTCTGTATAAATAAATAAAAGAATATAATATCGAATTAATCAATATGCACACAAGCCTACCCCCTACGGATTTAGTGTTTATTTAGTGCTATTGTTTCTGAAAGTGCCATTTCCGTCAAATTAAAATATTTGTAATTTGCATGGTACCATTTTCGACAAAAAACAGACTTTGACATTTTGGCATAAATTCAAAGCGTATATTAGTTAAAGCTACATTCAATTTGTAGACATATTTTGTAAAGTTATAGGTTGGTCATTATATTTGTATATATTAAAAACAATTTTTTTACACGATGTTAGTTTTGAACTGATTGTAAAACCTAATTGATTTTAATACACTTTTGAAAATATGTGCTACAAATAATTTGATAGATAAATATTCATGCAACAGGACTATATACGAGAATATAGGACAAAACTTAAGCGGCAAGAGAAAAAGCCGAAATAGTCAAGCACTTGTTGCATGAAGTGTGAGCTATCGTTTTAAATATTAACCATAATTTATTTATGTATTGATTGAAAATAAATGATCATAGTACTACCTATTTAACTTTTCTCCGCAGTTAATGAAATAATATTATTAATTCTGTGACTTTTTATAACACGCGTATCTCCTAATGAGTATTATAAAGTCATGTACTCATGTCATATACAATGATATATATTATATAGGCAATAGACTATAGCAGGGGTCATCACCAAATGACCTTTGCAGCACGATTGCGGGGACCGTGGACAGAGAATTTATCTGGCCCGCAGATAAGACATATTTTATTTTTTAAACTATTTATTTTTTTAAGGTTAAAATTTAATTAAACGAGGTCTTAATTCGTTATCATTTAATTTTTTGATTTTACTTTATTCGGATAAAGATGTACATTAAATATTTATCATCCCGAAAACTTCTTGAATTCTCGGATTGACCTTGCAAAAATATTAATCGGTGATCCCTCTAGAGAAATGAAGATAATATAATTTGTTATTATAATACATGTATAATATATTATATAGTGTATGGATAAATCCGAATGTGTACATATCATTATAATATATATTATGTCTCATAGAATGCAATCATTTAGAATATAGTATTTTGTGATAAACTAAAACATCGATACTTTGTTTCCGGTACGTTTCAAGCGCAAGTAGTGAAACAATTCAATGTTGTAATTGAACACAACAATAAAATAATTAACAATCACGAGATACATAATATCATCTATAATAATTACATTAAGGTCGGTTCTACTATATGATATAATATCTCAGTGGTGAATCTTAAATGTTTGTTCTATTTAAACAGAACGGAATAACGGATACATTGTGATTTTTAAAGGTATCTACAAAACACATAATACGAAATTTCGTTGATCGTATAATATATAATGTTTGTTGCTTGGGCCTGGGATGATTTGAAACATCCAGTGAGTTGGACTGCTACAGCATAGCATAATGGCGCATATAATATAGATTACAGACATTATTAGTGTTCGGAACGTTCACTAAAAATGGAATTCGTTCACGTTCACGTTAAATGCTTAAGAAAGAAACTCATTCACGTCCACGTTCATGTTTTTTTCAAATGAACACGTTCACGTTATTTGAATAAAACGAATCCTTTAATTTGGTCGTTAATTAAATTTTTTTATTTTATTTTTGTGAATCGTTTAAATACTAATACAAAATAGTGGAAATAATAATATTATTGTTGTTTCATGTCAAACCGTAACAATATTATTAATCAATATTTATACATATTATATTGTATTTATTAAATGGTAAATAAATTTGAAGGTCTTAAATATCGTTCAAATTCATTAAAAACTATAAATGTAGTTCACGTGCACGTTCTATTTTTGAAAAAAACGAGGGGAGTTCAATTAGTGTCCGTTCACTAAATATGAACATGAACGAGCGAAAGGGCAACGTTCATCTTTCCAAAGACTGTAGGATAGTATTGTGTCCAAGTGGTGTGTATCTGTGTCTAAGAACCTGTAGTATATTATATAGTCGAATGGTCAATATTTATATAAATGATATTTATTTCAATATTATTTCATGCACTCACTCAATATGTATTGTTGTGGAAACCATTTATCAATGTACACATTGTTGGGCAGGTTAGGAATGGTGCCCTTTTCCCATTTCCACAGCACGATTTGCTTGAGCTTCCTGAATGATTCGACAAATACTTGGACATCGCGTTCCGCCAGGTCTGACATCTTTATGTTCGATCCGAAACTGAAGTAGATCGCCCCGTGGGTTGCACCGTCGAGGAGCGCTTTGAATTTCTGCAGAACATATTAATGATATAATAATAATGAAGATTTTTAAACTGGTTCAAAATTAATTCGTTCAAAAACTACTTAAAATAACTATAATCTTTAGTTACACATTTTTTTATTAGGGATACATCTTAGATACCTAGCTTTAATTTGGGCGATCAGTATAATTTGGCCACATTTTATCCATCTGCTTCCCATACAATATTTGTTTACATTTTATTAACCGGATATTGAGCCTCTAAATGGTTATTTACCCGGAGACTGGGGCACGAATATGTTACACGAAAATATATGAATATAGGTATTACATTTATTAATTACAGAACCTATATAATTTTAATATTGTTTTTTTTTTTTTTAATAACTATAAAATATGAACCTATAGGTTCATAAAATTAGTCAAATAGTTATTTATTTTTTTTAAATTATTTAAAAATACGGTTATTTTTTTAAATGATGAGATACAGATTTCACAAATTCATGTCTGGTTTTTTTCTCCTCTCGGGCTCTTTGGGCTCTTCATAAAATCATTTAATTTAATTTACCTATATAATATAATATAATTCTTTCGAATTAAATATCGTTTCCCTGTTCGTATAATATTCTTCTCTACTAAATTAAATATAAAACTTCTGCTACCAGGATATGTTAATGAAAAATCATTTAAAAAGTGGCCCAATTACCGGTCTGGTGGTCTACCTGTTATAATGTAAAATTGTAATTGCCGAAATCCTTTCTTGGAAAAAGGTTCATTGCGGCCCACTTCCCTGGCGTCCTATAATTTTATGTTGTAGGTACTTATATATAAATCACTAATATTCACTATAATAGCCACACATTTCTTATAATACGACGTGTTATTTACTATTTAAATCCAATATTAGTTTATATTATTCTACAAACTAAAGCAGTTAATACATTGAAAGAGCAACATACTAATATTTACAGTAATTACTAAAGTGTTATAATTATGTTAAGGTTGAGTCGTGTTTTTAAGGGTTAATATTATTGAGAACGACTGCTATGTATTGTATTTTCTTGATATTTAAAAAGTTATAATTTTATTATTTTAAGTATTATCTCATATTAGTTGAAACCACGGACGTACATAATCTGAGGTTGGAATACATTACATAACTATAAACTATTTACTGACAGTGGCGGCTCTAGGGGAGGGGCCCAGGGGGTCATGGCCCCCCCTGAAAACCAAAAAAAAAATAGGCGAGTTTAATATAATATGATACGCTTTTATTATTACGGTTTATAATATTATTATATGATTTCGGGTTTTTCCGTGGCCGAATTTCTATCTATATACCAATCTTAGATTCAGTTATAAATGATCTACAAAATCGCTTTTCGGAATATGTCTTAAACTCCTTTGACCTACGACTTTTGATGCCAGCCACAATAGATTTTGAATCATTAAAAAAATCAGAAGAAGCAAATAAGACCAAACTGAAAATATTGAAATTGTCAGAGATTTACGGTGGTATTTTGAAGAATAATTCGATTTGTTTAGAAGCCGAGTATGATGTGAGGATAGCAAAGTGGAATCGTGTGAAAATGAATAACGGCAGAATTCCAGAAACAGCTTTAGAAGTACTGTTTGTGATGTTGATATGTTTCCCGCGATTCATACTTTGATTCATATTTTAGCAACTTTGCCAGTCAGTGTAGCGATGGCTGAAATGTCCTTCTCGACATTGCGACGGCTTAAAACCTGGTTACGTACACGAATGATTGAGGACAGACTCAATGGTCTCGCTCTTATGCACATTCACCGAGACATATCTATAGATATAGAGCAAGTTATAGATAGATTTGCTAAAAATAAAAACCGAAAATTAGACTTTGTTTTATAAAATGTAATGTAATTTTTATATGTTTATTTTGTATAATATTTTCAATTTTGTGTATTTTAATGACTAATGTGGGTAATATGTAGCACTAATTTTAATAAATATATTATTAAATATTAAAAAAAAAGTGTGATGTTTTTGCCCCCCCCCCCCCCCCCCCCGAATCAAACTCTAGAGCCGCCACTGTTTACTGATAACTGATAAGTAGGTATATAGCTAAATGTAAATATTAATATAATAATATGATACAATATATTGTGTACAATTTTTGGGGTTGATTGTTTTATAAGTTATAAGTAAATTAATTTGTTTTGTTTTTAAATCAAATTTTTAAAAGATTTTTTTACATTTTTGAACAGTTTTTAGTATTTACAACAGAACAATTTTTGGAAAATATTATATTTTAATAAACATTGTTTTATACTTCAACTATTTTCATAGGTACATCTTTATTTTTAGATTCCGAATTTGAATAGGTATTATTTTTTAGGCAACTTGTATAATATATAAAAATTGTATTTCAAACGTGTTGCGGTCAGCAGTCGTTCATTAGTATTAAAACAGTATTTTGAAAGTCAGACAAATTGAGTGGATATAAAATGTCATAAAATAACGTAAAAAAACCAGTCGCTGTCGTGGTAAATCAATATAATATAGAATTATTCAAAAAAGGTTAAAGAAAACGAGCAGCTTACCCGGTCAACGATGGCGGACGTCTGCGGCCGCATGTGCATGCCGGCCACTTGCACCACGTTCGGCGGATACGGCCTGGGGTACGACACGGAATGGTGGCCGTTGACCAACGTGAGCTGGACGGCTTGGCGGAGGGCGTCCAGCGGAGGGCAGTTCAGGTGTCCGGGGTACGTGTACAGATCGTCCAGCATCTGCTGATCCGTTGACCGGAACGCGATGTCGGACACGATCAGCTCGGCGGCATCGATCGCCGCGTTGTATAGCCGTTCACCGAACGACATGGAGTCCGAGTACCGGAGCCAGAACGACGGCACGTACGCGGGATGATCCGGCAAGCCCAGCGATTGGCTGAGCGTCACCGACGGTGCCATTGGGCTCAGGCACACCACCGGAGCGGAATATCTGCTCAGGGTCCCGACGAAATGTTAATATGCGCAGAGTGATTAAAAAAATAAAACCAAATCTTTGAAAATGATGAAACTATACTCTGTACCAAATAAGAGCGCACCGCGTTGGCGCATCCAAATGAATCGCGGAGCGACGTCGGACCCCCTGGTCGAGTCTATTCGCTCTGTGATTGGTCGCCGATCGTCGGTCGGATTCGCCGCCGTCGAGAATACAGGGAGCTGAAGTAATAATGCGTTTCACGCGTATTAATCAGTAAAATAATACACATACTTTTCGTTTTTTTTTCTTAACATAGGTATTGAACTCAATATAATATTAAAAACATTCAAAATATTCACCAATGCGCGCAAAAAATATAACAACGCCTAACCGCGTATACCGTTAAAATTGGTGTGATAATATACAACACTCTGTATTCAGAGTTGACCTGGCCGGCGCCGGAATATGCTGCGGCAGCGCTCTCTGACATGCGCGAGTTTCGACCGGTTTTCGTGCGCCGCCCGGTGCGCTCTTATTTGGTACAGAGTATATATAACTCTGCAAAACATAATTATATTGCTATATTGTTACCTGTGACCTATCGCCAGGTAAATATCGCTGTACCAGCATTCGGTCAAAACCAGATCGAAGGCATAGCGAGTGTCGTTGAGAAACGCACGAGTCTCGTTCAGCACCAGAGTCCGCGTGACCATCTTCATCATATTCTGCTTGACGTTGATCATATTGGTCACCCGATACGTATGGCGGATTTCCAATGGATTCCGACTTCTCTGGATTTTCACTGAGTCCATGCAAAATAATCATATCATATATTTTTTATCCTTTATTAAATAGATTCCACTCGATAATAATATGTCCACTCTCTATTCTTAACTGATTTTAATTATAAATTTAGTTTAGGTATTATAGTGTATTACAGATTGTTTGGACTAGGTATATATATGATGAGTTTTAAAAATTGTTTGCACTGCACACCACCCACGGCCTGACCACTATAGTGTATAATAAAGTGGCATCAATGGCCATATATATTATAGGACATAGGTAAATATATATTGTATTATTACTTATTTATTAGCATTGGAAAATACTATAAGTGTTGCACTGTAAAATATCATTTATGAATACAAAAAATGTCAAAGGTATATAGATTGGGAAAAATCGAGTAACCACACATAATACCCATCTATATAATATATAGTATACAATTACATACCATCGGGAATGGGTACGTGTTGGTAATTGGTCGGCACATCTCCTTTTGGATAGAACGGACTGACTACGGTCACGCGATGACCGCGGTTCGCCAATTCCAAGAACAGCGGATTGAAACCAGAAAAATGACTGTAAATTGGCAATGGGAAGAACGCCAATATATCCGCTCCGGCAGAGATGGGAGGAACAACGCAGCTACCTGCAGAGATTGTAAAAATCGCGATGATTATTGAAACCTGCGATGGAAATCAGAAAAATAATAGGTAAGTAAAAAACACATAATAGAAAATAATCAACATGAAAAAATAATTAATTAATTAATTATAACTTATAATTTATGATATTTTTGATACGTCACGAGTACGCCTAGTAAATATCGTAGATCACTTATATGATATATCAGGTGTCGGCGTGTAGCAAAACCTTTATGTATTAAGTGATCGACCGACGACCACTATGTATTAAAGTCTATTTTGTATATTATTACATGCAGCATAATTATAATTTGTACCAATAATAATATGATTGTAAATTTGATCTAATTTTTAGATCTAAAATTGTATGTTTTTTTTTTGCTAATAAATAAGTATACTTTAATTTGTATATATAAAGAGTATATAAAGCATAAAAGTGTGTGGATTATGCACGTGATCAATTGATATTGGTACCTACCTAATTCATTTTAAAAACAATCGACCAATATTCTTCTGAATATCGATTGCGGTGGATTGGTTACCCCATATATAGACGTAGGTATCATTGGAAGTAATCAGGGGGATTGGAAGGGCTTAGCCTCCCAAAATCCATCAACCCCACTTTTTTTAGTTTTGTAGGGTTGATCCTGCAGACCATCCAAAAAAGCAATAAGAAATTATTTATGCATGAGATATAGGTACATTAGGTATAATTAAATTTATAATATATATTTATTTTTTTAAATTATTAATTAACCAGCAGCAACTTAGGCCATTGGGTGGTTTTTAACTGTGAGGGAGGGCACTGTAGGTTTAAACACGTGTGTTTGTTAGTTTAGCAGAATTTTCTAGTGGATACCCGTAGGTATCTACCATCCCCTGGGATGGCGGCCTCTATCCAGACACCGAGACTGTGCAGCTCGTGGCCGGGTTTCGAACCTCTCGGCCACTCCGTCCCCCATTTTTAATATTATAATTAGTGTAAATAAGAATATTATTCAATGTTACAATATTTATAATTTATATATAGGTAAGTATTAAGAATCGTGTATACTATATAAATATACTATACGTACTATACTATACTATTCGTATTATAATGCATGCTTAGGAGAAGTTTTATGAAACACATTTTGACCAAACTTCTACAAAATAACGAAAAAAAACACATTATTGCATTTTGATTATTCACAATTATGCGCTAGCGCATGTATAGCATATGTTACTAACCAAACATATTATGGCTTTATTTCAGAAAAAATAACAACATTTTTATATTATATAGGTATAGGTAATATCGTATTTTTTCAATTTATAATTTTTTTTTTTATTAGATAAAAATAAGTATTTACAATCTATAATATTTATATAAAACAATAAGTAAATTTGATAACAAAGAATTTAAAAAACATGAATAGCGTGAGGATGGAGGCCCAGCAATGTGGATAGTATCCACTGGATACCCTCTAACTTGGGGTAAAAGTTATAATTTTAATAGTGTATTTATGTTTTATAAGTTTTAATACCAATATAGATAATGCAATTAGCTAAATAATTGTAAACACAATATTGTCCATACGAGATAAGTACGAATTTAAATTATTATTATTTTACTACTTTATACATAGTTTGCTCAATAATCCGAGGTTTATACTTTCTATTTAGTAATTTTATAAATATTATAATATAATGTGATGCACGACGTTCTCGCAAAAACACATACATATACATATTCTTTAGAAAGAAATCATTTGCACTCAAAATGATCTATAATATACATATTATACAATCTACAGGTGGCTCATAATATATAGGGGAGACTGGCTTAATATGACATAGGAACACTAGGTAACATTTGAAATATTTGTATATTGACGTTTGTGTATCGGATAAAATACACATGTATACAGCCGAAGTCTCGGGTCTTAGCTCGTATAATTACTATTATAAGAGCTTTATAATTATTATAATTATACTATGTTATATATCGCAAAATATGTAAAAAAAATAGCATGTTATTATAAGCAAGTCTCCCGATTTATGTGTGTGTGTGTGCACTTACTTGATAAGACATTTTTCGAAAAAGAAGCAAGGTAGTCGTTATATTATAATCAACCACGTGTATATAACAATAATATACTGTAATATAATCGGTCAATATTTGAACACTCGTCGATATTTCAGTGATCCTCAAAAATAGACACGAAACCGTTGCTGTGAGCTCGCATCGGAATGGGACGGATCACTAAAAATAAGCCAATAATAATAATATTTGAAACGTGAACTAGCACACCGTTATCTAAGAGTATTCACACTGTACTTACGTAACGTATCTACACATATTTTACGAATATACAGCGTCGTTCAAACGGTCCTTAACGGTCTAAAAGTGCCGATGTATAATTTTGTACACACAAAAATAAGTTCTAAAGGAATACATAATACGATCCCGTTCTCTAGAATCAAACAAGTTTGATATTTTTTTTTTTTACCAGATGGAGTACTCCATTGACGTTCAGGCTGAATCGAACTCCGTTTTTCAATATTTTAATGTCAAACATTATAGTACTTATGTCTTTAAAAATAATACAATATTTTAAGATTTTTTTTACAAATTATAATTATATAACCTATTTGAAATACAAAATCAGAGATCGACGCGGCTTGTAAGCAGGAAGTCTTTTATTCTTTCAGATAAAAAAAATTGTTATCAAAATCCGACAATTCTACAAGGCCTGGAAATTATTCCTGCGAAGTCATTTTTTTCGATACACTATACGCCGTATCGACGCCCCCCTTATATACCTAGGCATCGAGCAGTAGATTGGTGGAAAAGTATTATAACTAAGGTGGCAACTGGAATATAATTTTCAAATTTTATAGGATTGCGGAAAATTTGCAAAACGGCACCGGGCCCCATAAAATAAGTTCTTATATGTGTCTTACTTATTTTCTTTATAATATACTTCATATTGTAGTATGCATTGTGTATAACTTCCTCCTTTGCATCCGCTACTGAACGACGACTACCTATTACGGCTTATACAACCCACTTTTTTGAAGATCCTGTATATAATATTGATATATTATATTGTATATAATTATTATCATATATTTTGTTACCATAATATTATAGTCTCCGCAACGAATAATAAATTAATGATAGTACTTATTTGTAATGATAGCTGATGATTGAATGATTAGTAGATGTGTGGTTTTTATTTTTACGATTTCGATTTAGAGATACTCGATTGTGACGGCTCGTCGGCCACACTAACTCGATACGTCGTGATATTATATCGTATAAACATGTAATTTTAATTAAATTACCATTATAATTCCTGTATGGAATAACCACTTTGGCGGGGTATGAAATGAAATTTATATGGAGTCATTTAAAAAGTAAGAAAATTTAAAAATTTAAATTATATTTCAAAAACTTCATTGTGATATGTATTAATTACAAATGATACAGACAAAATATTTTTAAAAAACAAACACATTTACCCAGAAAACAACTTATCTGTGATAAATGAATCACTCTGTATGGGTTCGTCGTATTATGCACGTGAGTGATTTTTTCTTCGATTTTAAACGTTATGTCTTTATGGCCGATGTGACGATAAACGCATAATAATATTAATCATCGCAGAAAAAAAATTCTGAACATCAAATTTTTTTTTTATTTTTATCTATGTAGTAATTAGATTTGTTTTTTTGAGTATTATACATTTCGAATTGTGGTGGTTTATATTTTCACTTAGGTATATCGGATAGAATAGGTACCTAATACCAATGTCAATATTTTTATTTCTAGTTAGATAATTATTATTAAATTCGAATTACGATGTTTGAACATTTTTCTGTGCGACTGCATCTGTTACAACTTACAGGACGATTGTAAATACTAAATAGTATCAAGCCCGGATTAAGGATCAATTGTGCCCCGGGACACCATACACTTAGTGGGCCCCCTTTCAACTTTAACTTCGAAATAAATGTATCATTACATATTAAAGACTTTATATTGTTGTATAATTTTTTACTATACAAAAAATATACAGGGTGTATCTTATGTCATTTTACGAGAGTTTCTATTAAAAATTAGGTATGGATCAATATGATATGGAATTTCGTTAAAACAAGAAAAGACACGTGTTTCATTATTTTTAACAGGCAATTTTCTCATAACATTTTCAACATTTTTAAACACTCAGTTGTACCAATAATAAAGTTGACTTTATTTTTTCAAATGGTAACCACTAAGTACTAACAATTGTTGGCAAATATAGTTCATTATTTATAGTAATTTTTCGTGATAAAAAATTGAGAACAATTTCATTTTATAATTATTAATAATAATTTACCTACTATACCTATAATAGCTAATTAAATAACTTTTTTTTTTTGAAAACTGTATTGAACGCGTTAAAAAATATATTTTGGGGATAAGGATGGGCCCTTTAATCCGGGCTTGAATAGTATGTACCTAATATATTGATATTGTATAATATATAATGTATAGTCTGCTGGTACTTACAAGTTACGATCTTGGAGTAGGAAAAATTACAAATAAATTTTTCTGTCGTTTCTAACGTCCAAGTGCAAAATGATGTGCCGAATAAAAATAAAAGGTAGGTACCTGGTACATACAGGTACTCTGGCCTAGTCAATACGAGTCTTGACAATCATTACGCAGCCCCCATCAGAATTAGGTTTTTAAAAATTGATTAATTTCAAAATCAAAAAATGTGATCAAAACTTGAGATAATTTTACTAATTCAAAATAGATCGACATACAATTTTTAAAAAAGGTAGGTAATTATTTTGATTAATCAAAAATGAAGTCGATAATACTAATTTATACGCTGGTAGGTATATATGTTGCTGGTAAAAAAATACGTCATTTAAATTTTTTTTATTTTAAGATGGAAAAAAATGATTCAATACATATTTATCAGGTATACGCACAGCAGTCGAATGTTGAATTCAATATACATACAGAGTAATAAATGTCTATTAGATGACGTTAACATTGCACCGACATTTGTTGTCTCCGTCTTACAAGTGCGTGACATAGTAAATTATGAGAATACTGTTCTCTTTATTAAACCGAAGCTCAACCGTACAGATGAAAATATGCTCTCTACTCCAATACACAGCAATAATAAGACGGTTAATATCCTACGCATGCCCTGTATGGGCAGCTGTCTCAAAAACAAAAATTAAAAAACTACACTCTTCAAAATAAATTGATAATAACATCCCTAAACGCCATGGGGTTCATGAGAAACAAAAAACTACACAATGATACAAGCCTACCATACCTATCAACTTGGATAACACAACAATTTAAAAACTTCACAAAGCTGACGGAGGACTCCACTACAATATTGGCAGAAGATCTGTCAATCTAAGACTAAAACCTCGACTACCGCAGGATATCCTACTAGAACCCGAAGAAGACAATTCAAACTTAGATTATGACCTAGACTTATAAGCTAACCAAAATTAAAAATTAATGTAAGCTTTGTCTTAAACATATTGTTAACATACTAATCGTAAATTGTAAAAATACCTGGTGTATTGACACAATTAAATTGTTAATAAAAAAAAAAACCAGCAAATTGTACGCTTAGCAGAACACGTGTAGCTCCGTTAGTTTAAAAATTAGAGTCAATTGATCTCTTATAAAATTTAAAGGTAAGATTATTATCTTCTCATCGGAGTTTTTATTATATTTTAATTTTAAGGCTAGCTATGAGTATTTTAAGATGTACAAACAATTTACAATTTAAAAATACTCTTTAACAGTCTTAACTAAGCCCATGGGGTTGCCAAGACAATAATCCTTACTTTTAAATTTTATGAGGTCAATTCACTCCAATTTTTAAACTAACTGAGCTACACGTGTTCTGCTAAGCGTACAATTTTCTATGTTACGAGCTTATAAGATGGAGACCACAGACGTCAGTGTAACGTCCTCCTATAGATATTTATTATTAGATAAGATAACATTATTTCTGCAGATCTATATGGTATATTATTATTATATAGTTGGACCATTTTTATGAGAAATTGTTTAGATGATTTTTGACATTTTCAGTTTATACCCGTAAATTATTATGTGGGACGTTTCCACGTTGAATATGGTACCACTACTACCACTTTAGGTAATTAACACCGGAGCGGTTGTCATATAGAATCCATTTGGTGACAGGTTGGACCATGTTTTTTTTTTTTAATGAGACAAAGCAAGTCTACTCAGCAGGGCTCTCAACATGATAATTTCACCCATTGAGAGTGATTTCTGGTAGACAATATTGTGGACCAAACACTAACAACAAAAACAGCAGCACCATTTTAGCATAGGTAGTAAACAAGAAGAGTTATAATGTTGTGTGTGTCTTTTAAAAACTAACATTATCATGTCTAGAGGTCTTATTCATAAATAACCCTCTGTTTGTTAGTTTGGTAATCTGATTCAGTAAGAAAAACAATACAAAGCGATTAATGATGGTTTAAAATTAATACTAGAACAACTGTAATACAGTAAATATGGAATGGAAATCGAGTACATAGTACATAGGTACTACATACTCATATCTGAGGGCATAACCTCTAAACACTTGTTCTCGCTCCACTACAACTACTGTTGTACACATAACTTATTAATTATTATTAACTATCACATTATCAAATAAATACATAAAAGCGATGAATATTAAAAAATATTCCAAAGTAAAAAAAAACTGGCTTAAAAAAAAAACAACAATTTTTGTTTTATTATTGTTCTTCAATATTATATACAAACATATAATGTCATCATAACTTACAATCAACAGTTTGTGCATTAAATTTTGGCAAACAAAAATAATTATAATATATCATATTATAATAATATTTATGAAATTAAAATAATAAAAAAAAAAATGTATTACACAAAATCGAACATACACAACCTTAGTTTTAATAAGAGTACGGTGATGACAAATCATCCACCAGAGACCCATTCACTCACATTATTCGTGTATTTATATTTTATATGTATACATATTAAATAAATATAATAATTTAATATTAATTATCTGGTGTCCGTTAGGTGTTGGTTTGATACAATAACAATAGAATCTTATTATATAAGGCATCGATATGATAATCGTAAATATTGGACCATCACTATTGAATATTACGAGTATACTAGTAATAATTTTTTTTTTACTAAATATTATTAGACATTTGGATAATGTTTATATTATACATGTACTGTCTATAGTATTATACGTATAAATATTTTAGGTTTTAATAATATTAATAATTTTGTACCAAACTGCACAGGATTTATAAACAATAATAAGAATTATTATAGTAAAAGAAAAGTTATAAAATAGAAATTAGTCTAAATAAACATTTGACTAGACTCTTAAAAAAAAAAAGAACCTGAAGATATTTATACGGAACTTGTATGTTATCGTTGTCTACGTAGAGATTTATTTTTTGAAAATCGTTGTTCTCGCAGAAAAAAAATATAATAATACATAAATATATATATATATCCTCTAGAAAGCTCTAAAGTTTAAAGTCAATCTCACGTGATGATAATATTTAATCGATGTTGTCTTAAATGTAAAAACAAATAGTGTTACTTTTCTTCGATTATGTTTAAAAACTACTTAGATAAAAATTTTAAAGATAATGTAAAATAGGAATGTCGTCTTGATAATAATAATATAATAATAATTATAATAATATTCAATCTGCTTGGGGACATGGTCAGACTTAAATTGTCAATCGTACTAAACTGTCACAACTGACGAGTTAAGTAGAATAGACATTTTATATTTTTCATTTTATTTGTTTATCGTGACGCACTCTGTCCACTAACTGGCTTCTTTCGTCTGTTCTTTTTGATACGCTATGGGTGACTGTATAGCTTTCAGGAAGTCCTGTTGCGTCTGGAGTATTTGCCTGAGGTTCTGCAACCATTCAGAACGTGATTCGACACTGTGCGCATGGCACACAAACCACAGTGGTGGCCTCTTGGGGTCGGTGGATTTGATGATGAACGACCCATCGGACGAGTCATCAGACGAGTTACTGCTGGACGAACCGTGCCTCTCATCCAGTGTCATTTTGTTCACCTGAAATATGTTGATATAGGTTAAATCTACAGCCAAATGATTAATGAAAATTTGTTTATCTATCAGCCATCAGGATAGGGACATTTTTTTTATATATACTAACTACACGAAACATGACAAAAATTCATTACTTTTTCATGATGTTATAATATGAAATGAAAGATAAAATTTAATATTGAGTAATTTTGGCCATCCACTATGTGTAATTCAATTTAAATATTGTATTACAACATAATTATTATTATTATTTTATTATACTGTTGACAGCGCATTGTAAATCATGACCTCCCAAAAAAATATCATCGATATTTTTTTAATCACTGAAAGTGTTGACTTAATACATTAAAAATAAGTGTTTACTTTTGTAAGTGTAATAAAAATGTATAAATTATAATCATAAAAATTAGTTTGTATAAGTTTTAAAATATTAAATAGAAATTAGAAAGTAATTCATAATAAATTATATATTTACAAATTAATATTATTTTTATAGGTACCTAATAAATTGTAGAAACTGTTTTATGAAAATAATTTTATTGGAATGAAATAATACAATCTAATGTTTTGCTTATTTGTTTTTTTATGAAAATTAACAAAATATAAGAGTTCCAAATCTATTCTTGTAAGACAGAACATTAAAATAAAATAAATTTTTTTACAAAATACTTAATATTAAAATTAAAATAATTAATTTTAGGTATCTAAATCCGATCGAGAAAAAACATTACAAGGATAATCAGATTTAAGCTTTCATTTCATGAAAAAGTCTCCATTCGATGAATTTTTTTAATATTCCACAAAGTGTAAAACAAATAGTTTCCATCTCATGAAATAGCACTTAACTTATTTGTAAAAAAGTAAATGTCTTAAATTTTTGTAAGCAAAAAAATATCGTAGACGATTATGTACCTGTATGTGGGCCTTGTAAACATACACTGGACTGCTGAACTGCGCCTTCTTGCGCATTTCTTCGCTGAGTATTATACTTTGCTCAAATAGGAATACGTGCAGGTCCTTGTGCGGTGGTACTCTATTCGGGTTGAGGCTGGGACCCTCGGCGCACGTCAGCATGCCGTGTAACAGTAGCTTGCCCTGAGCGGTGATTTTGCCCTAAAACGAAGCAATTAATGGCAGGTTAATATAATACAGCAGTCTTATCACAGTCTTGTTTCGATTGCATTATGGTCTAAAACATAAATCCTCACTTATAAGGATGGGATATATAAGGACAGAATAACATATACGAATTGTGAGTAACTTATATTTTTGAATAAAGTTGATTTATCGAGAAGGTATATTATTATGATAATGGGGCTAAATTTTAGTAAGTATCTAACCTTGAGATTTGTGTCAAAGAAAATGGTCAATTACTATTTTTTAAGTTTTTAGATTTTTATACAACACATTTTTGATTTATGCAAATTCTAAAATAAAAAACATTGTTATGACTTTGTTAGGTAACAAAAAAAAATCTATCAAGAAACACATAAATTTTCAAATAATATAATTATATATTGATAAAAGAATCACACTGTATATTTATTTACTAGGTCTATGAAGGTATACAATAAATAGTGTACTCACGTCGAAACCTTGCAACCGACCGACGTCCATCATGTCGTTGGCTGCTTTGGGCACTACTTGCATGACGTGCATAGCTTGCCGAAGAGCTTCCATCTCGTCTGCCAACCTAGCCCGCTCTGTGTACTTGAACATGTCCCGCAACAGCAGCTGGTATTTCATAATCCTCTGCACAGGCTTGATGAGGATGTCACTTAGCTGGAGCTTGTGGCCTAGAAACTGTCGCATTTCCTACAGGAAACAACAAAACAGTGGTTAGATCATATAGTGTTATATGGTGCATCGTACCACACACACTGATACATGGTTATAATTTAAAGCATATTATTATGATTTGTACTATCACAGAGGTTTAAACTATGATTATAAAACAGGCCCTTAGTCATACCACACGCTCGCTCTTGACATTATGAATATCAGAGAAAAACCGTAACTCAGTAATCTCTTATTACCAGAAAAAAAAATATGCAAGGTAAAACAATACATTAATTTTAGTTAAAGAATATTATGCCTGTCTGGTTTTACTCCCATGTAGATATTGGAAAGACTTAGGATCATGGACGTGTCTTTTGAATTGCAAGGAAATAGTTATAACTATACTTATATACACGATTAACGTATTCAGTGCTTGATTTGGAAAAAAACTAGAAGGGGGACTCAGAGGATGTTTGATGATAAAGAGTTCCACACAAAATTAACTATCGCATAACCTATTACACCCCCCTTCAGCCACCCATACTCCCAAAAAATCATTAAATTTACTATACAAAAATATTTTAAAAGAAAAAACACTTGTATATTCCTTATTTCTTTTAAAACATTTAATGTAACATTATTAATTAATTATTCTACAAAAAAAAAAGAAAAAACAAATTACGTATTAAATAAGGTCCATAAGTTTTCATATGAGCGAGCTATCTTCATGTTTAGAAGATCGTTTAGGACAGTTTATTTCATCAGAATTTATACTACGATTTTTAAAAATATAATCCATAAAATGTATCTATTATCTATGGCATAATCACAGCTGATATATGCTTATATTTAGGGGAACTCTTCCCCCAAATCAACCACTGAACGTATTATAATCATAGTAACAAATGGTGTAACGAAAAAGCGTTTTACGAATATTTTAGTTAGATCCCGGCCAAATGTATATTCATGTCATAATAGTTTCGTTTCGGTCAAATTATTATTTTAGATATTATTACTTATTATACTAGGTATAGAAAACCGTAGTACCTATATAGCTTGAATTTGTTTTCGAGACAAGTAGACAACAAATATTGTTGGACATGATGATTTCAAAAAAATATTGAATAGAAAATGTTTTTTGCACACTGTTGCAGCACGTAGTTTTCATGACTGTCCCTATATTATATACGGGGACCCCATGTATTATAATTTATAACCTAAGGCACGAAGACCGGGCGTGGAACGAGACGGTTATAGGGCAAGAGAAAACCCTATACGCACCTATAATTAACATACCTCTCTAGAGTATATAAATACGCTAATTTATTTATGAAATATGTTACCTCGAAATAATCATTATGATCAGAGACGAGGTATTCGGAAACTGGCTTGTTCTGACAGTAAACCACGTACATCAAAAGCTTGCGTTCGTATTTTTTGAACAGCTTGCCGAGCTCGTGCGGTCGGGTGAGACATCGCTCAACGGCCGCCAAGAATACGCTGTAAAAAAAGAAAAATAAGTAAAATTATATATTGCAAATATCATAAAAAGGAAATCCACTTTTGTATATTCAGCCTCAGTAGATTATGCGCTAAAAAAACATAATCGCACTTCCGGAATTATTTATTCCAACAATTTTAAATTATAAAATTAATAATTAAAGACATTTAATAATATAGGTACATAATATTATTGGCATCTTAATGATTATCCGTAAAATTTATAATTATATGGTATGGTCAGTCGTTTTTGTATATTATAGTAGACGTATACGTGTAAGAGACGGAAATCAATAAGAATGCGACATATAACACAACCTAACTAATATGACGACTGACCTGAATCGCCAAGGATAATTTAAAATACTTTAATTATTTGAATAAAAAATAATTAAATAACATTTTAAGTCGTTTACTACCTATGATAGATAAATATTTATAATGACTTATAATTTTTTAGGTATTATAGGTATGTATATTATACATTTAAATCTACTGTAAGTCAAACTTATTAAAATAACTCACTCTCTGTGCCATTCGTAGATGAGTTCGATGTTGCCGAAGATCATTTTGTCTTTCCCAGACCTCAAATCTTCAGGCATGGGGATGTCACAGCCAGCTGCCTCGGGATCTCTCATCACGGTCATGTAGCCTTCAACCACAAGCGACAAGTCTCTGACGTAGTCCCGTTCGGTCTCGACCAGCTCTCTCATCACGTACTCCCGTTTGTGTAACGCCTCTTCGCACTCGACGTCGTCATTTTTCAGTCTCAACTCACCACTCATCTTGTCGGTGGAGAAATTGGTGGGGTTGGTGGTGGAGGCCGCGGTAGCGGCAGCTGCTGCGGCTGCGGCGGCGGCGGCTGCTGCGGTGGTGGTGTGTTGTTCCTGTAAAACAACCGACGATTTAGACCCAAAAACCAGATAGCAAAAACGAAGAAACGAAAACAAAAAAAAGATAAGCCGTGCACAATGAAATAACTAAACTACTGTAATTGCACACACACGCACACACACAACACACTAAACACTAAAAAGTACTCAATGTATCTATATAATCTATAACAACTCCAATCTACACAAAAATGTTCTTTCTCAAAATTCACCATTCTATCTTTGACGATCTGTTCGATTTCGGCCAAATCGGCTGAAGACGAGGCCGTCACTTCCGCTGACAGTCCCGAAGTCTGAAGAACAATAAACACGTGGTTTTCGTCAGTTATTATGATACAATATTATATAATACACATTAACATAAAATAGTCGTCTTAATCACGAAATTATACCTAATACTACATAACGTGGGACATGTAGATCCCTTATCACTATATAAGCAAAAATCAGAAGAGTACTCAATCATTTCCAACAGTTTTAAAGAGTAGGCTAACTCCTAAAATATACGGTTATTATTTATTATTTATCCATCAAAATATTTACTTAGTATTATATGTAATTTTTTCCTTTAAAGACATCGAAAAAAAAAAACGATACATCTTTAGTTTTGGTTCGAAACAGTTTGGTACCTAATTAGATGTCCCAAAATTTCCAACTGTCGAAAAAAAAAATACCTCTAGTTGCGCTTATGAAGATTGCTGAACGCGAGTAAAGGTTAGATATAATATTATAAAATGTGTGTTATATATAATACTAAGGGTATAGATTTAAAACAATAATCGAGAACATATTATTACGATATTCATTATTCGTACATTCAAGAATAAGGAAACCATTAAGGCACCCGGTGCCGATGCCATTTTGTCTTCAAAAATACACTCTGCGGGAATAACGATACCGCTTTGTAGAATCAACGAAATTTCATAATTTTTTTTTTAATTGCTAGAAGAAAATATTCTACAGCCCGCATCGATCTCTGTTTTCCAATATTTTATTCTCAAACTTTATAATATGTCTAAAAAAATACAAGATAAAAAGCACTTTTTTACAATTTTTTAATACAATTATTTGAAATAAAATACAAAATCAGAGATCGATTTGGGCTGTAGGAAGTCTCCTTCTTTCAGATAAAAAAAATAGTCATCAAAATCAGACAATCCTACAAAGTTTGAGAGTTTTATTCCTGTAGTCATTTTTTTCGATATAATACACCCTTCTATCAATCCTCAATAAATAGGTATCGGGTAGACGTAGTAGACAAGTGAAAAAGTCTAATAATTGAGGTGGCAACTAAAATATAAAATTTAATTTTCAAATTTCATAGAATTGTGGAAAATTTGAAAAACTGGCACCGGGACCTTTAAATATAAAATGTAATAATTGTACTCACTCTTTGTGAGGGAACTGTGGCCGAGTCGGAGGCGTTCACCAAAATCGACTCGGAAATGGGTTTCATGGGTGGTGGCAATTCGAGATCGTCGTCCGGTTCTTCACCGTTCTGTTCGTCTTCGTTCGGCAAAGTTTTGGTGGATTCGCTGACGGGCGACTATAGAAACAAAATAACAAGCGTGAGTATATTTAATAAATATTTTTTTTTATTAAAAGCATATATTATACCAGACGGACTTATTAGTTATAGTACCTTAATACTATATAGTAATAATTATAGTTCGATACTTACAGCACTAAAAATCATTAAAAATGAGCTTTATTCAACGCATATATTTTTATACGTTTTAAAATTACATATAAAACATTGTAGTTTGTTATTTATGCATGGAGTTTCTTTTTTTTTGGTAAAAATATTATTGCTACGATTGCACCACAAACTTAATTTTTAAATCCTGATAGGTAAATTATGTTCTATAATCTAGAGTCTAGACAATGCATTATGAGAATTTAGATCATTTCATTTTTGACAATGCACCTACACACGAATAACACAAGTTATATCTTTATGAAAAAATCGTAGCAAAGCATATAGAAACGTGGTAACATCCATTTAGAACTTTGAAAATAAAAAATTATTAATCGAATTATCTTTAAAATTTATATTTGTAGGCATATATTACTCGGCTATACATATAGTATTATACGTCCAATTATTATATGGTCATCTGGATAGACATTCGCCACAAGTCCCGAACTTAGCAGTTAATAATATGATAGCAATAGCTGGTAAGTATAGGTATATATTTAGGTTTACTTTGTATTTTTTATCTGATCCCTTTTTGGCCGATGACTGCACGTGGTTTTTGTCGACTTTGCTGCCGTTGCTGAATTTCCTCAAAGGTTGTGGGATCCACATCCTCCTGCGGACAAAACACGACGCTCGTAATGAGTATAAGACAAATATATAATAATTAAATTTTAATATACAACATTGGGAACGCGGTTGTGGTCAGAGACTACAATATATATATATAATATATATGCATGTATATAATATACAACCACATATGGTCATAGACTGTAAAACGCGTATATTATTATTATAATATATATGGTAATGGGCCGGAGGTTGGGAAATCTCTTTGTGTGGCCCTATAAGGAAACCCAACCGTGGACGAAATATCATCGTCGCAGTGGCGCCGCGGCAAATCGCCATTATCAAAAAATATCGCTTTACCGACGAGTTCGTTATAATAATATACGCCTTTACGTGTATATATTTATGTGTATATAATATATTTGCATATCACAAGTAATAAACGTTTGTGCGCTGTGTGTTCCGCGGCAAAAAGAGAAAGTCGCGCAAAATAAGAATTAATCACAAGATGTAAGTTTAAGTGTATAACATTTGCAAGTACGAGGAGGGCGCGCGCACGTAATATTATAATAAATATTACATTATTAACACCCAGTCGATACGGGATTTACTTGTGGTGTCGTGGAACGATATAATATAAAAGTATACAGATACATTAAATACGTTTAAGAATGAAAACTTTTGACGGGGAACAATCATAAAAGATATCTATAGCACGTTTCCACGAGCATCTTTTTTTAATTTTCACAACTATATTCGCAAACGTATATTTTAATTTATTTCCTAAATAGTTACTCATTTAAAAAAGCACAAAGAAAAAGTAATAATATTCAAATCGAATTTAATAATTAGGGCTGGGATTTAAATGCCCTAATTTATTTTTATTTTTAATAATTTTTAAAGAACTGTATAACAAAGTTTTACAGACAGAACTAATCGATTTGGACTTCTTTAATCTGGAAACTAGCCGTCGTTTTGGAATTTTTAATAATATTGAAGGCAATCAACAAAATCAATAATAAAGTAAAAAATTATAGAAAATGAATTCACACATATGTTATGACAGTACTGAAGGATATCGTAGGACGTTGATTTTATTGGTATAACAGATTAAACCGCACCATTACTATAGGCCGTTTCTCGTTTTCTATAGTGTTTGACATTCGCATTACTATAATATTATACTTAATAGTTTGTTCAACATAAAAATCATGTAAGCATCTTCAAAAACTCCAAAATGTCCTAAATATGAAAAAATACTTTAAAATTGAAAATCGTCAAAAAATTAATACAAAAAAATGAAAAAGCTATGTTATAAAACGAGCATTGCAAAGTCAATAATAACAATATCACACTAAGCTCAATTCAAATTTACTACAACTTGCGGTACCTACTACAAAACACAATAAGTAATAAGAAATACAAAAATATCCAATATTTTTGAGGATTTAATACAGCTACACATGAAGAATACGTTTGAATGTTTGATAATCAATACTTAACGTTATTACGTTTCCACCCTTCTCGTGACATATAACACATAAGTATATTTGCTTTTAGATAACAAAATTGAGTTGATTATGAATTCAAAACGGTAAATACACTAATAAGAGCAATATATATACATAGAAACTATTAACTTTTTCAGGAAAAATATTAAAAGCAGAGACACTTTAAACCCAGGCATACCTACTTAAAATTCGAACTTCATAAAATATGAAGTGTAAATCGATAAAAAATTATTATGTATCAGTTTAAAATTACGCAAAAATGCGTCAATGATTGACAGACATTATAATTATTAGTTGTGATCAAAAATGCTTTTCGAAACAATCGATTAATTTTGAGTTTATGATAACGAGTCGCAAAAATTAGAATATCACAATGTAGGTATCTAATATATTAATGTATAATATTTTATTACTATGTGACAATCGGTAAACCAAAACCGGATCAATGAAATATGTATGTTTTCAGAAAATATTCGAATGGAATTAAAAATATTATGCAAACAAAATATAAAATATGTAAAAGCGTTATATAAATATACCTTGGTTTCCCAACAGTCTGACACTCTGACTTATTATAATATGTTAACCAATATTATAAATTATTACTTATGTAGGTACCTATCTAATAAATTGTAATGTACAAGCTCGTACCTATATATACCAAGGTTAGACAAAAAAGAATGAACCCTATAAATTCTTAATGTAAAATATTGTACATTGCTATAGTTGAAATTAATTAGAATATAATATTATTATTTCGGGTTTTTGGTTAAAAAAAAAATTGTTAATTTTAATGATATTATCAATATAATATTATGTATATATATTAATAATTTATTAAATATAAAATAAATGTTTTTACATAGTTATTTGATTACAAACACTATACTATTATCACGCATATAAGAATATCCGTTGCGAGCGCTGCCTATAACTTGTGAATTATATGAGTGTTGATGGATAATTTCATGGGGCAAATTTTCATATCCCGTAGGGGGACCATAAAATATCTAAGCTCGTGACCATGAACATATAATAGTAGGTACATAATACCTACATAACATTATATTATATTATACAATTAACAAGCGATGACAAATGTGGGTGCAGGGCGGCCTGCAGCATATACGATGTAGACATGTAGTATATATATATTTAAGCATAAACAGACGACTGGGTCGATAATAATATATAAATTAGTTTTATGAAATATTATTATATTATAGTCTGCAGCGATTGAGCGAGATGAAAAATCATTACATACCCGCTGAAAACTCGTCTTTTGGTCACCGGTGAGTTATTGCAAACCAAAGATGCTGCAACGGCAGAGGAGGGGTTATCCACACATTCTCCAGAAACGGTTTCTGAAAGAAGAAAAAAACACAAATAGCAATTAGTACAAATATTTATCATCACAGCACGCACACAATAATACACAAAAAATCAATGGCCGACCGAACCCCGGCGCAGAATAAATGGGCATTACATTATTATTCTATATAACTATCCAAAGAGCCAAAACTGCAATCTGTTACCACGTGTGGCTCATTATTATATGATGTACATCAGTTAAAAAAAAGAAAATACATACTGACGGAACTGCGAAGTATTTTTTACGTAAAAATGGCGTAAACAACGTATTTGCGGTGTTCGTATGGAATCATAATATAAATTCCAAAAACCGGTGGCAGTAAACGTTACAATGCATTGTAAACGCAAACGCGACACGACTGTAACTGGTACGCAAAAGGTAAATAGCGATAGAGAAACATTCCCTATCTAGACGGGATATACTGAATAGTGACGTGAGTTCGACGATGACTATAGCCACTACAACTACTTCCGGAGCCAATAGTAATACTAATAATTATAATAAAACAATCGCAATTACGTTACTAAATGTTTATACGGCAGGTTAATCAAATAATAATAATACAAATAAATCGGCCAAAGCTTAATTGCACTTATAACTAAATTATATTAACGAATTATTGTACTAGGATTAAAAAGTCTAACTGCTATTGGCGCACAAATTTAAATTAACATTTGATTTCACGGTATAACAATTATACTAATATTATCATTATTAATTATTATTAATAATTTACAAGTTTTGAAATGATTTGACATTACCATGCAAATACATTGTTTGTAACCAAGGCATCATCGATGGTTCGCCACCACGATTTAGTATATACTATATAGGTACTGCAGTAAGCAGTTGAAAAACGAGACTATATAATATGTGCGGTACCCTCTGAAGTTAATCATCCGACATTCAATATTAGTTTGCACTACTGCTCGCAGTGGCTATTTTTATATGCGATAAATGAGCGTTATCAAGTAATTTATATTAAATATTTTATAAAAAAAATATTATAATGACTTTTATAGTGCTATTATCATTAGTATAAAATACGTCACAAAAACATGTTGACAAAATCAATTAATTGGGTAGGCGCGTGAGTTTATATTTTAAGTTTTTGGACACAAATATATTTGTTGTATAGTAAGGCATAGACTGAAAACCGTAGTATCTTAAATATTGATCACAACTTAAATCTTACTTTAAGCTCACACTTAGATAAATAGACATTTGTTAAAAATTTGAATATATAAATTCAATACAGCATTATTTATCCTTATGATTTGTTAACTATATAATAATTAATATTCGTTCCTGCAATTTTTGTATGATTCCTGTGAATTCCCGTCTAGCTGTGTTCTCAGGAATGGCCCAAGAATAGGTAATATACCTTCCTTATACCCAAATACGATTATTTGAACGTAACATTTTTTTCAACCAGAATGCAAATTATTGGATTAAAAATATTGAAGTTTGTCAAGAAGAATTTCGTTTATACATCTCTAATATAAGAATATTATAGATACTCACGCTTGACGCCCCGCGGTACGTACCTGTTGTTTCCAGAATCTATATAATACATATAGTACCGATCTACCAGCTATGTTATAATATAATATTATAATCGAATTTATTTTTTACCCTCCTCAAATTTTCAATAATAATAATAATATTATAATAAATAACAACGGTGGGTGGCGAGCCCAGGAGGTCGTCGCCTGAAAATTTACGAGGGACTATCGTTGTTATTATTATTATTACAACGTTAATACGTAGTTGTTGTAGTGTTGCAATGAGTATCGACTATAATATACGATGTAAAATACTACAGCCATCGATTTTGGTGAGCGATAACAAACTTATAACCAAACACGAGTCGTTCCGACCCCAGTATCAGATATAGATACGGAGACTGGAGAGACATACCATATACATACATACATACATACATACATCATACATATATAGGTACAGTACATACAAAATATATATAATAATAAATAGTATATTATAATTTATTGCGTTTTGTGACCGTGTGGATTTTTTGAACGACAACCATATTACAGATTATTCCATTTAGATATTCTAAACATTTCGATATACAAATAACATAACGATTTGAACAGATGCTATATACCATGTACGTATTTTTGAGGATTTAAAATAATAATGCACACGACGATTTCACGGGGTATCACAACTGATATTGACGTTTTAAAAAATACCCTGTTTCAGAATATTCTTTTTCAAAATTATTTGAATGATGCAAAACCACGAACATTGCATCGAGAACAATCTTCTAGTAGCACTATCGTAGTGTAATTGTACAATAGTTATAGGTAGTTCAAACGATATTTTATATCCACGAACGGAATTTTATGGTCGCGGGATTAGATTAGGTTAAGTTTGTCTGCTTCAAAGTGTGTTTAACGTAAATATAATTAAAGAATATCGAGGAAAAAAACAAATACAAAAAAATGTTCGTTCCCTTAAGTCAGATAATAAATCAATTCACACTAATAATATTAAAACTAAACAGCACAAATTCACAGCTGAACACAAATTTGGTTTGTTATATAATATATAGGTACAACGAATACATTTTTAAAGGCTAAAACAACACTACGGGTATTGTGTCTTCATATAATAGGGGAAATATAACATATTCGTAATCGATATAGGACAAATTACTTATTGTATTATTACTATTATTATTAGCAATATATACCTATAGTTTATACAACAATATCATTTTTAATCGGTGTAAAACCGATATAATATGTACACAACAAAACCTTCAACTGTTTACACATAACAATATATTAAGTGGTTTCCAAATTAAAAATTGGATAAATTGGAAAAAATTAGATCTATCCAGTATGTCGTAACGATGAAGGTAAAACGCTAACAAAAAGTACTACGATTTTGGAGTTTAAAATATCTCTCCTCTTCCATCAACCCGATGCGCTTTGATCGGTTGGGTTGTTATCATCAAAGTGGTTATGCATAATAAAATACAAAATTACAACTGATGACCGCTAGGTATAGGGACCATGGCAACGCCAAAGAGCGAAAATAACGTGTTTTTTTGTAAAATAATTATACGAAAAGATTTACGATGTATTATAATTTATAGTATAATATTATCTGCACAGTCGTAGAGCGTCATTATATAAAATTATAAACTATATCGGTTAAAAATACTTTTTAAATGTTATGTCCTGTACTATAGGTATAATACAACACTACAACAGAGGAATAGCAGTATAGGTAGGTACATTAAAATATAATTACTTTTGCGGTAGGTATATACAGGGCGATTCTTTTATCATTGTACACTCATTATTTCAAAAAGTATTAATGTACTAATATTATTTTGTATAGTTTCAAGTTGTTAAAAACAACGTTTTTATTAAAAAATCATATTTTTAAATATTTTTTAAGTTTTTTACTTTTTTGAATGATAACATGGAGTTTTAATTTCATATTCCAAAGCAGACTATTTTTCTAAGTATTTTGATACATAAAAACCGAATTTAGGACGAGTAGTTTATGAGTTATAAGTATTTAAAGTTTAGAAGAGTGGAAAGGAGTAGTGGTACGGGGTTACCCCACAAAATATTTATTCACACAAGCGGAGTGCTTGTCTAAATTTTAAATACTTTACTACTCATAAACTATTCGTCCTAAATTTAATTTTTATGTTTCAAAATACTTAGAAAAATATTCTGCTTTGAAATATGAAATTAAAACTGTATGTTGTCATTCAAAAAAGTAAAAAATTTCAAAAATTATAAGAACAAAAATTTTTAAAAATATAATTTTTTAATAAAAACGCTGGTTTTTGACAACTTGAACCTATAAAAAAAAAATATTTTCAAAAACATTAATAAATACTTTTTGAAATAATGAGTGTTCAATGATAAAAAAATCACCCTGTATATATTATACAGCCCACGGTAGGTGTAATTCAGTATATACTATGTAGTATATACCTATATACAAGCTATTATTTCTTCATAGTGGTAACCGCGTTTATAGAATAAATGATGGATTTATTATATACGTACTATCTAGAACCCTATAATGTTATTATGTAAATGCGTATGAGGAGCGACGAGTGCGAGGACCCAAAGGCGATCGACACCGTCGGTTACAAAAATGAAACCACTAATTAATATGCATATAAATTATATATAGTAAATATTATTACGGTATACGTAAGTTTATATAAATATAATATGACATAGGTAATAGGTATAATGGAATATGTGTGGGCTATTGTCAAAGACGAAGGTATCAAAAACGACGACGACAGCATTATCGCCGTCTACAAATATAAATATAAAAGTATACTCATCATAAATTACATAATATTCTTTTATAGTACATAGTACATTTTAATAATACAACCTAATATTTTTATCATACATTTTGTTAAAATATTATCTAGATGAAATAAGGTACCTAGGTACGTACACGACATCTAGCTTTCATTATTGTTTATATAAATCGTAGTCATACAATATCAGAATTCTTATGAATACCTATATGATTAAAACAGATAACTGTTGTTTATGGCTTATCGATTTATTATGTTGACAACACATAGCTATATAATATATTTTTTTTGCAATTAATAAAATCACATTGCAAAATAAATACCAATTATTTTACAAATAGCCAATGGCAATACAAATAGGTCGAACTTCCGTCCCATCCATATACGAGTCTCGTGTGACGAGGCCTCATCGAGACGACGACTTTGACGAGATTTGTATCGCCAACACATGCACTTATATTTATATAATATAAAGGAGTAGCTCATTTAGTTAACAAAACAGGCAGTTCTTGTTTAATTCTGACGATGTTATTATATCACACTTTAAGAGCGTATGTATATACTAAGTAATAGTGTAATACCTATATATATACCCCATCATGTTCGAATTAAGAAAAAAATTATCTCTATTAATTTCATTGCTCATATTATAATGT